TCACTATAATTAGATTTTTTTGATAGCAAAATTTTCTGAAGAAAGTAATACTTTTAACCTCCACTGCTTTAAATTAAAAGATAATTAGTTTTTTTTTTTCAAGTGGAATAGTAATGTGCAGGTGTGACATAGTATTGGCTATTGGTTTAGTGATCAAGTTTATGTAGTATTAAGCAGAAATGAACGTTCTCCTCGAGTTCACGTTTAAACTGTGGCATGTTGAAATAATCTAGGTCCCAATCTGCACATCTGAATTCATTTTGTAAAATATGGCAAACAGCTGCATTTGAATTGAAAGCTGAAACAACTGCAGGACATTAACCCATTGAGAAGATTACAGTAGGTTTTCAGTTCCATGTTAACTGTATTTATTAGAGAAAATTGACTTGAGTGCTTCTGCTTTTAACAGACTTTTTTAATGTCTGAAAGAAAGGAAATAAAGCATCACAATGATAGGACTTTGATGTGTAAAGAAGTTAATGTCTAAAGAAGTTAATTATCTGAATCTTCCAAAAAATGTGGGTACGGGAAATAATTATTTTAGAGTCTAATGAACTATCAGCTCATGATGTCAAGAAAAATGTTATTCACCTGTTTGATTTAAAAATTAACTTGACTGTGAAAGGATGATCATGGTTATAATAGACTAGGATTGGGACCCTTCACCTCTTACCAGTAAATACCCTTGATGTGAAACATTTGTGGCAGAGAGACAACTGAAAAAAAAGAAAGCTGTTTCTTTTCCTTGCGCTGGGGATGGAACCCAGTACTTCAGGCATGTTAGAAAAATGCTTTACCTTTAAGTTACATCCCCGTACAAAGCAGTGATTTTAATAAAGCAAACTATGAGTTTGCTTTATTAAATTCTCTTCAGAGAGAGATAAAACAGAATGACTGGCTGGGTGGTGGCTCACTTCTGCAGTCTCAGCACTATTAGAGGCTGAGGCAGGATTGTAAGACAAGCCCAACCCTCACAATTAAAGAAAGGGAGAGATGCTGTCTCAAAATAAAAAGAGGACTGGGATATAGCTCATTGCAACACATCTTAAAGATTTCTTTGTCAGCCTCAAAAACATTTTCTGAGGTTCTTCAGAAATCTATGCTATGCTTTTTGAAACAGGGTCTCACTTTGTAGTGCAGGCAGATCCTGAGCTCTCAGCCATCCTCCTGCCTCAGTCTTTCAAGGGCTGGATTATGCCACGATGCATGGCCTCTTTTCTCTTTTTTTGTTGTTTTTTTTCATCATTTTGTCCTAATTCTGCTGGATTGCTGTTCAAGTCTTTGCTTTTCTACTGTATGTTGTTTCCCTCCCATAGCCCTGGACTGGTAATATGATGTTTTTTAAACCCAAGTGCCAACAGGTTCTTTTCACATCTCATTTGTGGGAAAAGTAGTTGCTTGTTCTCTAGCCTGTGTGGGACTCAACCCACCCATCCTAGCTGGTGATGGATAACCTAGGGTTAGGTTCTTTTTGTTAACTACAAATTATTACTCACAAGTATGGGCAGATTAGAGGGATATGTTACAAAGATAAATTTGACATCAATGTGACGCATAAATTGAAGTAGAACGAGAGACCATATAGATGGTCCATATACAGGACCACAGCAGAACAGGAAGAAATGAGAAAACAAAAAAATTCAGCTTCATACAAACTGTAGAGTGCAGGGGTAAAAGTGTCCATAGTTGTGATATCAGCAATGAAAAGGAAACTTACTCTAAGGGTAATTTAATTTAATTGTGTTGAGATCTTTTAGTAGTCAAGTTTTTAAAACTTTCTGTGATTGTGAAATAAAGATTATCTAAATTTATAATGAAAGCTTTAAGGAACTCTTTTTTTAAAAAGGCATTGAACTCAGAGCCTATGTACTTTGCTACAATTTCAACTCTTTTATTTTTTTATAATTTTTCATCTATTCATTTATTTGGTACAGAGTCTTGCCGTACAGCTCAGACTCGTAGTGATCTACCTGTCTCAGCCTCCCAGGTGCTTCCCAGGTGGTAGGCATGTGCCACTGCTTCTGGCTCAGCACACCCCAGGGTTGGCATGACATGCAGTAATGGGGATTGAACCCAGGTCCTTGCACTGGCCAGGCAGGTGATTCGACCACTGAGCTATCTCCCCAGGCCCATCTTTTTTTTTTTTTTTTTAATTTCTATATTTTGAGGCTGTATCTCCCTAAGTTGCCCATGGTTGGGTTTGAACTTTTCAGTTTTCTGCCTTGGCTTCTAAAGCTGCAGGATTTATAGGCCTATATCACCATGTATGCAAGAAAGGGGAATCCTTAGAACGTGATATTATTCTAGAAGTAATAATGTATTGTTTACTATGTGCTAGGAATTGTTCTGAATTTTTTTTTCGTTTTTATATTTAATACATGGTTTACAGGGTCTCACTACACAGATCAGAATCATAGTGATTCTTCTGTTTTCAGCCTCCCAAGCACTGAGATTACAAGTGTGTGCCACCATGCCAAGTATCAATCCCTGTCTCAGCGTGCCCTCAGGGCAAGGCTGGCATGGCACACCAGAGATAGAACCCCAGTCCCTGCATCTGCCTAAGCAGGCGCTTTAATCTGCTGAGCTGTCTAGCCAGCCTTTGAATTTTTATATGTTGTTAACTCAGTTCTCACAACAACCTTCAGAGTGATGGGACTATTGTTCCCATTTTATAGATGAGGAAATAAGCGTGGAGAAATTAAATAACTTGCTCAAAACCCTAGCAAAGTAGCAGAGCTGGAAATTGAACCAAGACAGTCTCCCCTTGAAGGAGAGCACTGTGACCAGATCTTATCCCTACTCTGAGTTTAGAGTATGTGATCTTTGTCATCCACAGTCATCCAATAAGACATTTTTTTCTTTACTGTGATTTTGGGCATCAGCAAGAGGGCCTTGAGATAGCTGCCCTCACCTGTACATTATATAATGGGTTAGGAACTGCCTGTGGGCAAGGGAGTCAGTGACGAGGACAGACTCAGAAAATAAGGATCTTGACTAGGTGGTCAGGGTCAGATGGGCCTCAGTTAAAACCCTCCGCCCATGGGAAGGTGCCTATCATTCTGTGATTATCTCTTCTTTTTTTTTTTTTTATACACACGTGTACACACACACACACACACACACAACTTTTTATTGGTACTTTTTGTTTGTTTTTTTTTTTGGTGGTGCTAGGGATCGAACTCAGGACCTTGCCCTTGCCAGGCAAGCACTTATTCCACTGAGCTATTTCCCCAGCACACAAAAGCAGAAGGATTTTTTTTTTTTTTTCTCCCAATGCCTTCAGGGCAGGTTTGGCTGGCATGAGTTGGGGGGATCGAACCACAACAAACTGAGCTTGACTGCTTTGTTGAAGCAGCCACTTAAAGAACTGAGCTAAGGGGCAGGCCCCCGATTGTCTCTTCTTTAAGCTGCCCCTGAATGAGCTTCCTGGGCAGTGTCCCTTAAGTCAGCATGGTAAGACTTGTCTCTACTTGTGCCTTGCCTCCTGACTTGCTCCCTGACTCAAGGTGCAAACCCCAGCCTTTTGTGCAGTAACAGCTCTGGAGCCTGCTCTCTAGACATAGGTTATGATTTCTCTTTACTGCCTTAACACTTGTTCTGTTCTTTAGAATATGCAAAATATATATATTTTTAAAATTTTTCTTTATTTGTGGTAGTAGATATTGAACCCAAAACCTTCACATTAAACTGTATTCCCAACTCTTTTATTCTTTGAGACATCATCCTCTAGATTGCTTAGAGTGGGATTGCTTAGAGTTTGCATTCCTCCTGCCTCAACCTCAGAGTCCTGGGATTATAGGCATGTGCCATGATCACTGGCTTACAATTTTTTTTTTTTTTTTTATGAGCAGAATATATTTATCGAGAGAAAGAAAGCTCCTGTCCAAGAGAGGGACAGGAGGGGGGGCCCGAGCGGGTAGTTCCCCTTACAAATATTTTTAAGAAAGATTATACTACTACAGAGTTTACATGCATGTGTGAAATAATGCATAATAATAATAATTTATCAAGTCCTTGTAGTTGAGAAGCTTTAATTTCATGATTTTATATTGTTGTTTTGACTAATATCTCTTCTCTCTTCTCTTTTCTCTCTTCTCTCTTCTCTTCCTTTTTTCCCCTGTATTGGGAGATTGAACCCAGAGCTTTTGTGCTGAGTTACATTCCTAGCCCTTTTGCAAATTTTTCATTTTGAGACAGAGGCTTGCTAAATTGTGCAAGCTGGGTTCAAATTTAGGGTTTTCTTGTCTTGGTCTGTCAAAGTATTGGGATTACAGGTGTGTACTACCATACCCAGCAAGTAATTGTTTATTAATTCTTGTTTAATTCCACATGGGTAAAATAAAATGACATACATAAAGATTGGCATATAGTTTTCTCATCAAGCACCATTTTAACTTTATGAGGAGACAGGTCATTTAAAATTTAAAGTTGTCTGTCAATGAGATTGTAGCATATAAAAATGCTTTCTTCAGATATACTTATTGATTTATTTGTATTTGTATTTTAGGCTTTGTTTCAAATAGGGATGAGAGTATGCTGTAGTTTTGAACTATAGAACTTTCTTTAAATGAAGTCATACTTGGAAGCTTCATACATAAAATAGAAAAACTAGATTTTTTTTTTTTTTTGGTCGTCTGTAGGAAACTGCCTATTCCTGAGAGCTTAGGGGCCACTAGAAGCTAGCCCTGAAGAATTGCTAATCTTAGGGCTCCTTGGAACTCATGATTAAGACCACTGAGGTCTGTTAAAATATTTTATGTCAGAATTTTTGTTACATACGTATTGCAGAATAGGTATTTAGTTATCATCCAGGAGAATATTTGCTTGCTATTTTATATGACTAAACAACTTTTTGCCACCATAATTTTGTTTCAATAAAGACTATTAAACAAATCATATATACAAAATAGGAATTAAAATGAATAATGTATAATTGATTCCATTTTCTTATGCATTTATTTAAAGTACCTTCTGTAAGCTTTATTTTCATTTTTATTTAGATGAATAATACTGCTGCAAGCCCAGCGTCTGCTGCCACTTCAGGTAGTGGAAGAAGTACAGGGAAGGCTGTCAGCTTTGTGGCAGAGCTGCAGAGTATGCTGTGAGTATCTCTTTGATAGTATGACTGTTGCTGTTTTACATTTATTGGTGTTATTAAAGTGCCTACAAGCAGGGGGTGGGGGCGCGCTCCCTTGTCATGCCATGCCGGCCCCGCCCCCAGGGCATGCTGAGCCCGCATTTGAGACTGGGTGTGGTGGAGCACGCCTGTAATCCCAGCTCTTGGGAGGCTG